GGAAACGTGAAATGAAATTACGTTGGCCTTAAATAGGCGCTATCGCCACTTAACGGGATTTCAAATCCTGTGGAGTTGCAGGCCAACTTGCCAGAGAGCGTTGACTCTCTGAATTTTGGACTGTAGCTTCACGGGATTTCAAATCCCGTGAAGATTAAACTTCACGAGATTTCAAATCCTGTGAAACTTAAATCCCGTGAAGTTTTTGATGTTTTTTCGATATTTTCAACCCACTCTCAGCCACTTGGTTGAAACTCTTCACGGGATTTCAAATCTCATGAAGATTAAACTTCACGAGATTTCAAATCTTGTGAAGCTTAAATCCCGTGAAGTTTTTGATGTTTTTTTGCTATTTTCAACCCACTTTCAGCCACTTGGTTAAAACTGGGTCGCAAATGACAATTATTTTTAAAAGGGGTCATTTTTAAAAATAAGTTTCTAAATAGGTCTATTTTAAAAATTTGTTAAAAAACTAAGCATCCATGTTTCTCAATGTAAAATAAATTCAGAATAAATTTTTTCTTTAAATTTTACATTCCAATTCATACACCGGCCAGACTCAAACCCAATCCAGTTCATCAACTTCATAAATTTTCGCAAAACTTTAAATTGTAGTAGCATTTAGCATTTAGCCTGGAAGCATTCCATTGACTCCTTTCTAACACAAATAAGTTTTGCCTTGAGTTCAGACTGCTTCAAACTCTGGCAAGTACATTTGGACGCAAACCTGATCATCAAACTCTGATGCAAATCACAACGGAAAAAAGTAATCATATTTGGAAAACTACAAAATCCACATGTCTTTCTTGAGTTAAAACTCAATAAAATAGTCAAAAGGAAATAAGAGATGAAAGGACGTTGAACTGGATTCATATCCTTACACCAACCAGAACCACAGCCATCAGTCGAAATCAATTTCTTCCAGGTGCATTTAAAAAAGTCATACAACTTCATCTCCAGAGTAATCTCGAAACACATTAATTAACTGAAAATTTGCAGCTACAGTAGGATATAAAGACAGAGAACCCTCTCCATCGTCGCACGTTTGCATATTAATCCATCCTACCCTTCAAAGTTCTCTCCTGAACTTCAGTTGGCGTACTGCAGGTAAGACACGAAACATGTTCAAAAAATTTATTAAACAAGGGGCTATAAGAAATCATGTGATAACGACACCCAAACTAGTAGATTGATCTTAACTAACTTTCCTTTGACGCCCAAAATAACTGCCAAATGTCGCCATAAGAAAGAGAGAATCAAGTCAATGGGCTCTAGAATATGGGGGGAAGTCAGCATGCCCTGTGGACGTTATGGACTACTGAAAGAGTTACAAGCAATAAATCAAGTTGATCTTTGAGGAGCTACATAGTCATGCAGACTCCACAAAATACAGACTACGTAGCAGCGATGAATGGCTGCCACGACTGACTAGGACCTTTTAACTTTTCTGTATTGGTTCATCGAAACTATACAGCAAAATAGTTTGTTAAAGAAGGCTAACGTTTTTTCTGAGAAGATAAGAGGACATGAACCATATAAAGGAGGTGATTCTCTCATTGTTTGACACAGAAGAACCTCTCTTTTTGAAGGATAATTGAAAAGAGAACCCAAAATATTATCAGTGTAATCAAAGGAGAAAACTGTGCTAAAAGAAAACATGAACAAAATAAAAAAAAGTTTGTACTTACACAACAAGGACATGTCCTCCCCAACCACTCAAACAGTCCCGATCGACGGATGACAGGAGTGCTTGTGAGATGGTCTCAAACAATTCCTCAGGTTCCTAGTGATAATCAAGGAGATGTCATTAATACAGAGAACAATAGAAATATCTTTAGGAAATACACCAATAAACTTAAGAAGAAATACTTAGAAGTATGTTCTTTGCTTTATTTTGTTTTTATCTGCAGTTTTAGTCATTACACAAGCATATGCAGTGAATGTGCCAAAAGGCATGCTTTGGCATCACAATGCCTACACTTGCATAGTGTTTCATGGTTCATGAAAATATGCACTTGCATTCTATTATCATCATATACTAATTATCTATTCTGTTTCTTCCCCCAATTGACATGACAAATAGTATGCATGACTATGTATATTAATTGACAACAGTGAATATTCCAGTTCCATGTATACAA